GAGTATTACCTTAAACGAAAAAACTAGACAACAACAAATTGGAACTGCTCAAAGTACCAAACCCATAAATGCCGCGCAACAGCAATTACGGATGGAGAAAATTTTATTGAAACGAGGGGTCAACATAATCACGATATTTCCACGGGCAAACCTGATGCTCGACTAGTTTTGAAAAACATCAAGGAGCTTCCATGGCTAAAACAGAATAATGAACATATTTCGAAACTTGTTTTCTCCAATTTCAACGAAAACAAACAATAGAGCGCGTTAAAATTCTCCACCCCAACCCCAAGATCAAGTTGTGACCTTCCACTCCTAGCATTTAATTTGGATTAAATTTGCTGCGCGCTGCAAGTACAATACTCTGTTCTGATTAGCTGAAGATATCCATTTTGAATCAAGTCAACATCCCCCAATTTTTTTTTCATTTTTGGCACCTTTCAAAACTTAATACCGTCACAAAGAATTGCTTGAAGCCAATTTACTGATATTGTTAATTTTTCGCAAGGACAACACGTCAAAAAAATTTTTTCAATCCTTAGAAATTACGGAAAGAATTGGAGGTTTTGTGTACTTAAATAGCAAAAAAAAACAATCGAGCTATTTATATCTGTAAAAAGTCGACCTTGAAAACATTCGTTGCTCTTTTGGAGTCAACGGGTCGTAGAAATAGAAAATGACATGATAAATTTGAGGCAGCAATTTGAAGTTTTTTAAAATAAAATGTTCGTAAAAAAGAAAGTTTTGAATGTTTTTATTTTATATTTTTTTATTTGTCAGTTTATTCACCTTGAAGATATGTAAAGTACCAAGGGATTTATTTTGCGCAAGTCAACGTAATAATAGGAGCATTAATTGTTTGCCTCGGCTCAATTTGAAGAATTTTAATAGGCTGCTTGCTCTTTTGTAAAACGAAATATATCGCGCAGTAGTTGTCTCAATTTTAATTATGGACAACAAAGTAGTCCCAAATTCTAACTATTTTTGTTTGAAATCGATCACAGGTAAAATATATTTTTTTTCATTAGAGCTCAAAACAACAAAATTTTTCAGATGGTATACCGTCAAACATGCGTAGTGAAAAATTCGAAAATTGACTGAATACAAAACCACTTCAAGCATAAATTTTTCGCATTTCTTTGAAAGTCCGAACAATCAGAAGGCGAAACAGCTAACAATAAACTTGCTGGCATGACCTGTATAAGCATATTTTTTACTCATTCACTTTATAAACATATCGCTCCAGCATCCCTTTTAAGGCTGTAAGGAAATGAATCGCTTTGTTCGAAAATATTTAAATAGTTGGTTTCCCGGAACACTCAGCACTTTGGAAGACGCGCCGGCCTAATTTTCGTCAAACAATATCTTCACATAAAGCGAATAATGTCTTTTCTGTTATCCGGCCCAACATGATTTTTTTGTATCTTGAAAACTGTTTAATAAAGCTTTAATTTGGCTGCCGACAATTAGTTACCACTAAAGAAAACCTGAATTTTAATTTTAAACCGCAGCTCAAATTAAACCTTCTGCTAAAATTGGGCCGTATAATGGAATGGATCACAAACTGCTTGAAAGTAATCATGAATTCTCAAAGTCGAAAATTAAAAAATTGTTTAAGAGCGTTCGAAATTTTCAGGGCTTCTTTCTGATACAACCAATTTTTCTAAGCTGATTTTTGTGTTTTCTCTCTCTGATCGGTTTATTTTTTTTGCCAATTCAGTCATCAGTTTAACACCAATTCAATGTGGTCAAGTATCGACTTATGTATGTAAATGTTGCTTGGAAATTTCCTACTTTAATAGTATAAATTGCAGTGGCTATCGGGGTTGTAATGGGTAAGTGGTGTTGACACAGAAGGGCAGAAAAGGTAAAGTGATTTGACGGCCAATTTAGCACTATATAAACACTCCATTTAAGTATATTAACAATATAAGCACTCCATTTAGTGGGCAGTGCGGTTTGATTTCCTACACATTTTTCTGAGGATGGCGTAAATGATTAGATGAAGTTTTAGAGGTTACTTCAGAAAGCCAAGTTTTTAGTAATTTGTTACATCATTAAATCAAATTACGCAATAATTGTCTATATTAAAATAAATTTTTGAATACACGATGAGCTGTGTATTCAAATATTTATATAATTAGTTTCACTGAGCTTCAATAAAAACTAATTCAAAACTGCTAGGCTCAAAATACTGAGCTTCAAGTTGAACAATTTGAAAACTGCAAGGCTCATGACAGAGTAATTTTATTTGAATTTCAGTGCCATTTTTTCTTTTGCGGAAAAAAATACTTGACATGCTGGTTTTAATCTAGTTTTAATTCATGTGATTGTGTAATTGAATGATGCAACAGGCAGGTAAGCATTTTCGGCCAACTGATCTGGTCCGCCCGTTTTCTTTTAAGTGACCTACCACCGAACGGTTAATATTTGTAGGGCAAATTAAACTCAGCTCAACTAGACTTGCTAAGTTGTCCAAATCGGCTCGATTCAAAGGCTTATAATGGTCGAGGGGAGCGGAAAAGTTATTCTTGGGCGGAGGTTGTTAGTTGAATTGACCAAGATTAATTGTGGAAGTGGCGCCACTTAAATAATGCACTCTCAATTCACTAGTTGCTTTGCTTGCTTTCCTCCTATTTAAACTGTTCATACTGATGTTATTTAAACTTGTTCACGCTGATGTTACCTGTTACCATCTTGGTGTTGACTGGATTCTCTAAAAGTACCCACCTGAAAAGTGTCTTATCAGATAGTGTAATCAAATGAAATCCTGTTTCTAATCTTCAATCAAACCTGATATCTGAGCTACTGCTTTTTTACTCCTTTTCTTTCTATGTTTTATCTTCAATTTCTCTTCTCAATCTTTCTCTCCATTTCTCGCCTTTTTACATTTTTTTGTCTTTTACTTTATTTTTTTTTCATTTACCCTGTTTTAATCTCTCTGCTTGTTATCACTTTCTTTCCACTCCAAGCAGAAAGGTAATCACACGCCATGGTACCCTTTTACAAATTCTATCTACACCATTCATCGATCGCACACTTTTTGCTGATACATAAACAAGCTTTTTGTTCCACAGCCAACTGAAAACTTTTTTTTATTGCCTTTCAATCTGATGACCCCTTCGGGAACAATTTTGAGGAACTTTGAAGCTAAGCCCCCATTGGTAGCGCAAAAAAAAATATGTATTTTTACATACTCTATACACAAAGAGTTTTTTGCCTACTTAAAAATCTTTTTAGGTAATTGTTTTTTTTTCAAACCTCTGTTTGTTAAATTGAAACAGTTTTTTAATGAAAATATTTACTACTTAATGGTTGAAATCGGCGTGTTTTATGAGAAAATCGTTTAGATACCGCACCACTGCTGTTTTTTTAATCAATTTCACTATCGCATGCAGAACCCAGACTCGCACATTTTTTTCGCACATTCTAACTAAACCACTCCCTCTTTCAACCACCCCTGATACCTCTCTCTGCTTCCCCTCGTCTGTCCGTGACTTGTCTGAAAAATCAAAACTCAGTTCCTCTTCGGTTGAAATTTTGCATTAATTCTTTTGCAACGTTCTTCTTAGTATTTTTTAGTTTTTTGATATACTATTTTATTTTTGTATTTCTTTTTTCTACGTTGAAAAATCTGCTTTCGAGAAGGAAATCATTATATAACAACCCACAAACAACCCAGTTCTTGGTCGCTCTAAGTAATCACTGCTCATTTTTTGTACCATCTATGTTTTATTCGTATCTCTTTTTTCTATTTTACCCGCTTTTTAATGTATAAATCTATTATATCTGAATGCGACTCTATTTTTGCTCTTTCCTTTTCCCATTCTTTTGTGGTTATGCATTCAGTCAATGGTCCTCGTGTCAAACCACTTCATAATCACTTCCAGTAAGTAGTGATCAAACCAGACCACCCCATTTCATATACCTCAGTAATCATCACAGACTGGTTAGGAAATGGTTCAATTTAGATTTTGCGGGAAGGCAGACGGTCACTTCAAATTGAGCTACCACTATTTGGCGCATTTAAATTAGAAAATTGAAAGTTTCTTCCAATTTGCGACATTTGATCGTATTTTCAGTCCAACTTCAAGCCGAAAATCTTTTTAATATTACATTCATCTTTTATATTCCTCTGAAGTTCCCCAACCTATGCCCAAAATGAAGAAAATAATACTGGAACTACTCAATTTTAACCAAACATTTTTTTATTGTCGAAGCAACCATTTCTTTAAAATAGATATTTAACCATCCGTAATGAATAACGACAAATTTTTGTGTATTATACCATTTTTTATAATACCATACCGAATAAAGCAAGTATGGATTTGCTCCTATTTGGAACAGTCTTGAGTTTGAAAATGATTGGAATATTTTTGTCGAGTTGCAAAAAACTGCACTTGAAAAATTTCAGAGGGATATTTTTTTTAAATTGCCCTCAGCAATTAATAACTTATCGCAGTTAACGAGCTCTTGGTCGCTTTTGTCCGGGAAACGTGGGTTCAATTGTCAAAACAAAAGACACGAGAACATATATCTTCCTCTTCCTTTTCCTATCATGCTCCTTTTTACCCAATTTGGGGAAAATCCAATGAAAAATGAAGAAATATGATAAAAGACGAAAATTTGAGTGAAATAAATAGAGCAGTAGATGAAAAGAGGCAAATAAGGCTGAACAAAAGAAGTAGACCGTGAACTCCTTTCTGTTCAGTGTCTTGCCCAGAACAGAATACACAAAAAAGTGAGAGCTATTCTAAGTAATCACTGCTCACCTGATTCTTTTTCACCTTTTTTCAACACTGAAGAGACGGAAAACAAAATAAACAAAAAAAAACACATATTGGGCTTTTTTCTCATCTCAATTTTTATTTCAGTAAAAGAAATGTTGCAAAACACTTTTAAACATCTTGCAAAACTCATAATTTTAACTCAACTATATTCCCGAATACTGTCCGACTTTTTCCGAAATCCAATGAAAATGTAGTGTGAGAGCATAAAACATTTTTTTATCAGAAAAAGAATAGTTTCTCATCATTTTATCTGCGGTTTCAAATGAAAATTTTTAACGTTTCCTTAGCATTTTACTCCCAATAACAAATAAAACATTCTCTATAATTTTTCTAATTGCAAAAATTTAACACGGAAAAAATGCGCTGCAAAGTATTTATTATTTGCAGTTCGTTGCCTTTTCCCATCCCGTTTTTCTTATCCAAATACTTTCAATGCCCTCTATCTGTTATACGCTTTAATTTACATTGATTTGCATTTGAATCAGTGCCTGAAGACAGGCAGTTAGTATCTGTCGGAATAAATTAGTCTGTCGAAAGAAAGAGAGTTAATTACTGACTGAATGATTGACAAAAACAAAACGGCTGAAAAAAGCGACGAAGAACAGATTTTGATACTGATTGGTAGTGTTAACTTGACAAAATTATAACCTGGTTGACGTGACCTAATGACCTTGTTCACGTTTTAATCTTCGTTATTACTTTCATTTACTGTTACCGGGGGTTTCATAAAATCGCGATCTAACAGCAAAAATCGATTTGGTAAGCCACACACAACCCAACGCAAGCATTTTTTATTTTTCTTGCAGCGTGTGATTTACTTTTAAGCTTTTCACCTTTCAGTTGTTAATTTAAAAAAAAATGGCAAGTTTTAGTAATTTTATTTCTACCGTCCGCGGGTTTAGCTGAGTTTTTTGCTAACTCCTTTTTTCGAAACAAAATGTCATAATTTAGCATAGTATTTTATTTGACGTAAAAACGTATGTTTAGTTTTTCGACTTTTTTGCATTTTCATTATAAATGGCCTGTTTTTGGTGAAAGTTCCCATTACGTCCAGTACTATAAAAGCGTCTCTTCTTGATTCTTTCTATTAACCCGGTCCCGCTGCAGGGTAAGTGGCCGTTCAATTAACCCCTATTTGACCTACTTGTGTCGTTTCGGTTTCATTTTGCACCCCAGGAAAGAATCAAACCTCGACGTGATATCTAATGATATACTAATCCTATCTATCGACGTCAGAAGGGGGGTTTGAGTAGGTGGTTAAATGGAGGCTTTATCAGGCGTACTCGTTTCCTCGTTTTCTAAGATTGTTGCATAGATAAAAACTAACAGCTGCGCTTAGAAATAAGATACACTGACGTACCATAACCAAACCCGATGTTTATATTCATAGGACGGAAATGGCTATTTTGAACCAAACATTATAAATTGAAACAGTAACGGACAGCAATGCATACTTTACCACTCATAAAACATTCAAAAGACCAGACGGTAATTTGGCACTTTGTTCACACTTTGTTGGGACACTTGCAAGAAGATAAGTGGTGTGGAAACTAAGGGACTCTAAGGGACTCCAATCAATTAAACGACTGCTCTGCAATTCGAAAGAAATCTAAAATCATTTCTATGAATTAAAATACATTTTTGTTAGGGCAACATTGCTTCAAAATTCTATAAAATTTTCTGCATCGTGTTAGTCAGTTATCAGGCTCGTTTCGCCAAACTAGAATAAAACCTAAATTCAGCACTGATGTTAAAATAGTCTGAATGATTCCACCCTTTCTTCTAGAAGAAAGATCGACCAAAGGTCCATAATTCAAGTGTATGAAGTTCACACACAACCTATTGAAGCCAATCAAGTCTCTTTCAGTCGTTCACAAAGTTCCCCGCTTGTTTGATTTAATTCAAACAAATCCTTGATTAGTCTTACAGTACCTCATACCATTCTTGCCTGTAACGACACAGCTGTTGAAGTTTATCCTCCTCCTTAAGGTTCCTTACCGACTTTATAATCATTTAGTTGACAGCCAACAAACTTACATTTATAAGGTAATGTGGCAATCATTTCTTTGTTTCGGCGTAACCAGTTTGTTCGGATAGAGCTTTGGATTCCGGTGCTTTGTATTATCAAATAATACATCAACTAAGAAAAACCGTTCAAAAAGTTTGGTGAGAGTCAAAATTGTTTAAAAAAATTTTTCGGTGTCGAGAAAAAACATAATGAATATTTTTCTTTTCAGACGTTTTTTTTTTGGCTCGACCGGGATACTGATTCTGGCGTTATACTGAACAATCATTTCTCAATTTAATTTGCTGTTTTGATAAGTTTAATGATTTTTATAGATTCAGCTAGCCTCTACTAAGATACTTCCGAGACCTTTCTGAGACTGCTGAAGTTTCCTTCTAGGTAATCATAGGGAAGTCGCACATCAGAAGTTGCAAAACGGCAGCTAATTGCTGATTTTTCAAAAACCTTTTAAAACAGGATAATCAGGGCTTAAGTTCTTCCGATAACGAAGATAATTTCCGATATATTTTGTTTGTGGAAATTATCTGAACTTTTTTAAAGCTAATTATTTTAGTTTCAATTGAATAGCAGGAAAAATGTTAAAACTTAAAAAAAAATTTAGATATTTGTTTGAAACGCATACATTATACATAATCAGGAAAATTCCTGCATGATACAGGAAATGAAGCAATTCATGCAATTATTGCAATAATATTGCCAGATTTTTCGTTCCAATTTTGCAAGCTTTTGTGATCAGAGTTGCAGTTTAAAAGACCACAAAATCTAAAAATTCTTGAAAGTTTGCATTTACAAGTACAGAGTAAGGATACTCATGTTTTAAATTTTTTGTGATTGCTTATGCTTGTGGTTGCTTATGCTTGTGAACATAATTACCGATTTTTTGTGCAATTTTTCTAATTATTTCAAGATTTTTTTTTCAGACAACTGTCGACATTTTAAATAGCCTTTTCTGAACAAAAATCTAAAGCATTCTTCAAAAAACTGATGTCCAGAGCTCTAAATTAAAACAAAATTTCAGCTGTGATTTTTTGGATAAGTTATGATGGTTTGACATTTGCCAATTTGGCTAACTTGGGACAGTTAACGCGGAAGTTTTTCTCAGTATTGGAAAAAACTGATCGGAATGTTTTGGGTTCGGACTAATTCGGATTCTAAAAAGAAACTTTGAAAAAGTTTTCTCAATGTTTTGATTTGTGATTCGGATTTGCGATATTTTACGCGGGAGTTTTTCTCAGTGTTCAAAAAAACTAATCGGAATGTTTTGGGTTCGGACTAATTCGGATTCTAAAAAAACTTGAAAAAGTTCTCTCACTGTTTTGATTCATGATTCGGATTCTAAAGCATTTTTAAAAAAATTCTCTGTGTTGAGAAGAAATTTCTGAGTATTTTGGATTCGACCTCATTCAAATTTTTTATTTCTTTTTGTTTTCGAAAAAAGTCTAACTGTTGGTAAAAGTTTATGAGCGCCTTTAGTTTTTTAGTGGAATTCTTAAAAAAAAAATGAAAAAATTCTCTGAGTGTTGAGAAAAATTTGTCTGAATATTTTCGGTTTTCCGACTAGTTCTAGTAAAAATTATGATCAAACTTGATTGGATGTTACTACAAGTTGATCAATAATTTAGAGTATTATTATTTATCATTTTCAGACTAAATTTACAATGTAATTTTTTTCTTTAATCACCATTTTTTCTGATGGCTCATTAATCAGTTCACTTCCCTCAAGACAGCAACTGGCTATCGTTGTTTATTCTAGAAATCCATGATCATTTTTTTGCAAAAAATTACTTTGTTCAAAATTTGCGCAAACGCCGTTGATATCTCATAGCTTAACTTGTTTTTCAAGTATGTGATCAAAAAGTTTTCGATTTTAGTAGTTCTATAGTTTATGTTCGGTTCTATCCTAAATTACTACAAAACTGCTCGTATCAGGGCGAAGCCCTGAATGTTCCGACTGCCTTTTAAGGTTTATGGAGCAGTAATAACATTAAAAAAATAAATGTAAGAAAAAAAAATGAATTTTTTTTTTCTAAAATTTGAAACTTTTTATGAAAATCATCTTCCCACACGCCATACAAAGTACAAAAGGATAAATTTTGCTCCTTGTAACAAACCAATTATGGCGAATAAGCTTCTTTTAACCAATTTGGAACGATTTCTAAGACGGATTAACTCTCCGCTTACGCGTTAATAGCGCGAAATATATCGCGCGTTAATTGTCCCAAATTGGCCAAAATGGCAATCTTTAAATCCCCATAACTTTATAAAAAATGATCACAGGTAAAATATCTTTTCAAATTTAAGCTCAGGACAACAATACCTTTCGAATGATAAAAAAAATTCCGTCAAAAATGGCTAGTTAAAAAGTCGAGATTTGTCTGAAGAAAAAAAAACCTACCCCGAGCACAAATATTCCGTTACTTTCGTATCGAAAGTCGGAACAATAACTTATGCCACTCTGCATCATGCTTCAGACCCTGCTGCGGAATACTTTGCTGCGGAATAATTGTCCCGGCCACTCGAAGAATTGAGAAGAGTTTTTGATTCGGGCCAGTTTTTTTTACACCTATTTTGATTGCCTCAAGGAAGTTTGCATGGAGTCAAGTGTGGTATCATACTCGAGCCGCCTTAGTCATAATTTAGATTCTAACCAAAAAATTTTGGAAAAAAATCTTTCGGTGTTGAGAAAAATTGGTCTGAACATTTTCAATTTTCAGGCTGATAATGGGGAATATTGACCAAATTTGATCAGACTAAAATAGACGAAAAGCTGACCTCATCAATTTAATTTTTATACAAGTTGATCGTAGTTTTAGTTAACTTTATTTATCATTAGTGCAGTTTCTCACCTCATTCGGTCACTTGTTGCCAAAAAATAACAGTTGGAAGAATTGAAAAAAAAAATGATTTTTTTTTGCGATTTAAAAAATTTCTCTTCTCACTTCTGATTTCATTTTAATAAATTACTCTGGCCGGAACATCTTTGTGTTTTGGCTTTATTCTGCCGGTACAGTAAATTTCTGAAAAAATCTCACTTCGATTCTTTCAACTGCTTGGGCATGGTCATTGCAGCTGGAAGGCATTGCGTGTTGAAGGATTAAGACAAAATCTATTTGTCGACAAGATTGATTGATGGCACTAATAGCCATGGGGTATTTTGACTTCGGATAGAATAGTATAGGGTAGATTAAAACACAGGGTAGATTGCCGGCGTTGTATCGAATGTTGTTTAGAGATTGTCCTGGGTCCCACTTTTTCGAATTATGTTCTATTTTGACACCTACTCTTGTTTTAGTAATAAATTTTTATATCCTTCTAAGCAATAAAGCACTTCTTGAAGTTTTAATCCTCAACACAAACTTACCTTAATTCCCTTTATGTTTGACCCTGGGTGCGAAGAAAGGAACGGAAAAATTATACCAGCTAAGATCTTTTGATTGGAAAAATAGGTGATTAGGTAGCCTTCTTTGATACAGTTTTTGGACACCATATTAAATTTCGTGTTGTTCTTCTTTTTTTCATTCTCTTTATTCACAACGGTTCCTGGAGACAGGCAACATAAACTCAATAGAGAAACAAACAAATAGGTCTCGTCGGGTTTGGGTTACGAAGAGATCAGGGGAAGGAAAGGAATAAATAAGGTTGCGAATGGGAATTGGAACAGGAAAGTTATACTTCCACCAGTTACCCGAACAAGAATTCAATTTAGACGAAAGCGGTTAGAGAGAACTGAGCTCTGGTTTTACATGAAAACAGTTTTGGGCAGTTTTAAATGATTCGTTTTTTTTTGTAAAAACCGGCACTAATTTAAACTAGAACAAATGTTAGAGATATCTGAAATCCAGTCTATACAAAAATAAATAACGTTGAGTAAACTTAGACTTTTTATAAAGTTCAAATTTCACTTTCAAAGAGAATTTTGTTATGAAAGTTTCATGGAATTTACTGCTCAATTACATCGCTAAATACGGGGTTTCCTAATGATTTTTCAACATTTCGTCTTCAAAGATAGTTTTCGTCTCTGTGTGAATCTTGCAGTTTCCCCTCAAATTTTTCCCAATTCGATTAACAGCCTAATTTCCTTTGGATTTCCCGTGGGTATTCCCGAGTTAAAGTTAGTATTTTCTCAGCCACTAAAAGTAACAGAAACTAGCAAACAACCTTCACTTATACATTTTTATTGCACACCAAGCCAGTTTATATATTGAACTTTCTTGAAGACTCCTAATTTGATATGCGCTTAATCGTGCCCAAACAATATGGTATGTTTATGATTTTGCTCTCCGTTTTATGATCACTTTACCAAGTTAATTTCAGCTTTTTTTCCAATGTTTCTAAGTAATTGAAAGCTAAGAAAAACTTGCCTTCGAACATATTTTTTTGTTTGCTTGACTTTTTGCAATTCCCCTATTTTCAAGGCTAGATCAAAGTTTTTATGAGCAAATAGCGCCATTTTCATTTCAATAATTTTTAAAACTGCATCATAAAATATCTATTTGAAGACAGAGTTAGTTATATAACCAACTGAGGTCCGCTTTCATCACACTCTGAGAATTTTGTGATCCCTTTGGGTTTTCACTTTGGTTGACGTTGTTTGAAAACCGCTTGTATGCAACTTTCAAAAATTTTGACTTTCTGCTTTCAATCTTCATTTTGAAAACCAATTGAGCATTGTTGAATAATTAATAATTTTTAGCTTATTAGGCACATTTGGCACACCGTTTGGCTCAATTGTCGAAAATTTCATCATTTTTCTTATACTTTTGGCCTCAAAGAAGTTTCGTATTTTTGTGGCTTCCAATGACAATGTCACTGGATTCTCTTGTCAGTCGTAAACGTAGATTGGACGAAGTTTAGCATTTAACTCTGCAACGTTTTTTCAGCTTATTAAATCAAGATTGTAAAGAAATAAAAAGAAACAATCCCCAACTTTCAATCTTTTACCGGATCGTCTGGTCTAGAACGAAGATTCGTTTTTGAAAAAAAAACGTGAATAAAATTTAGCCTTTATCATTTTTTAAAAAAAAATTCTACTCCATTTGCCATTGTTTAAAAATTTGCCATTGTTTTCTGTTTCTCTTCTCGCATTAGTAGTTTATAACAAAGAAGGTCGTTAAAACTTCAAAACTTAAAACCAGCGTTGTTTGTCTTACGAAAAAAAAACACAAACGTAATATATTTTTTGTTTCGATGATTGTAAGTCAGAAGAAACTTTGTCTTTTTTTTGTTTTCAGGCATTTTTTGGTTTTCAGGCAAAATCACGTCGCATAAAACTTTATCAGAATGATTTGAATGCTATATTCCATTAAAGTTTTCTCAGTCGTGATTCGTACATGGAAAAAATTTTTGAAATTTTTTTGTTTTGTTATTTGTTTTTGAAGAAATTATAGTCGACACTTGCTTATAGTTTTGGCAATGAAAGAGTGAAATTGAAAAATCCCATGAACAACGTCCAAATGCATGAATATGAAATTAGGCGATAGTGATTGTGATATTGTTACAGAGCAATAATAAAGCATTATACCATTTGATGTTTATTGATGAAATATGGTCTCAATTTGCAGACGGCGTGACTATTTTATGTGCGGAACAATACATGTTTCAATGTTTTGATATTATGGTTGATAATTTTATAGCACTGATAATAATACCATAAAGTTAAATTCAATTTCTTTGCTAGCAGACTGTTTTCCGTCGCTTGCCTATTATTTTTTGTGTTGTTATTTCCTTTTATCCATCGTCACAGTTTATCGCCATTAAAATCACTATATTACACAAAAAAAACACAAAAAAATGAAGTATAGGTAGGTCCACTCACAATTTGGGCTCATCTACTCGAAAAAAAAAATTTAACCGCTGTAAACATTGTTAAAAATTTAGTTGGAGGAAAACTTTGATTTTTTATAGACTATTTTAAAAAATGGCCGCATTTGTTATGAAAATTGGTCTATCCTAGAAGATCGTTTACCACCGCCTGAAATTTTTCATTAATTATTCCCCCCCCCCTTGAATACTCTCTGAGTGTCAATTTCTGGCTCAGCCGAAATATTCCCGCACATATAGCCATAACTGCCCGTTTGAAAGTTTTTTTTTGCACAAAAACGATGCATTTTTTAATCATTTTTTTGAGACCGGATCCGCCTAGACTCCTAAGAGAACTTAATTTTAACATAAAATTGTACATTTTCGCAACTTTATGCGGAAAGCGATAAATTTAGCGTCGAAATCGAGCGTATTAGCCTAAAATTAGGAACTTTTTACCTTTCCCCCGCCTATTGCAAAAGGGGGTAAACTCGTTACAAGATACAAAATTCACGTATGGCTAACCGTTGAATTAGTTATTTATATGAGAAAAAATTCTTTACTAGATACTAAAGAGGGGGGTAGTTAAAGAGATCCGAAAATTATTCTTCTTGCTGAACAGTAACACTAAAGCGTCGCCAGATTTAAGTAAAATAACAACTGAAAAAGTAGACTTGCCCTTGAACGCAGTTTTGTGTGCCATCTGACGCAACTATTTTGCTTTTGTTGCGAGAAACAATGTTAACATAGTTCGTCATTTCTTGTTTTAGATTCCTCGCGTAACAAATTTCGTTATGTCTTGTCATCAGCCGAGCCCATTCGGTTTTATGATAGTCGACATTTCTTCAAAACCGACATTTTAGACACTTCTTCATTATGAAGTGAAGGGACTATTGCTCTATAGTTTTACACACTAAATAGAGTCAGGTGTCAAGACAGCCAGGACATTTTCCACTCACTTAGACATTGAACTTTGCCTAATTTATCTAATTTGGCCAGTAGCTATAGAATTCAGCTCATTTTCCATTTCATCTTCTTGACAGATTTACGAGTTGTCAGCTATCAATTCATTGCAATAAACACATTCGGTCAGTTATTTTGTTCCAAAACGCATAATTTTTTAAAACCGACAAAAGCCTGATTTCAAAGAAGAAAAGGATGGTCAATCAAGGGTTTATATTGACTCTGAAAAGCTTCCCATTATCTGGTACCACCTTATTTATCTTATCATTATTGTGTGTCTTCTTATTGACGCACGGAGTTCACAGTAATGACGAAGTCCTTGGCGATAACGTACCATTGGCTCACTATTCTTATGCGAGCAGCAGAAGTCAAAGGTTGTTTCACCTGGACACTGCGGATCACTATCCTTCACCTTCCCCCTCCCCCACCCCGAGTCAGAGTCCCTCCCTCTCTGGAACCGGAGGAGGGGCCAACTTGGATCATGTGATTTTCTGGGGGGATTTTTTGTTCCTGGCAGCCAGGGATAATATCTTCAAGGTGTCACGGGATCCTTCGGATCCAGATGGTTCTTCATATCATCTCCGTTATGCGATTTCTCTCGCGATGCCGGAGAGAGATAAACCATGTGAGCTGATGATGTCACACCCACAGGTCAGTTACTGGTTTTTTCCCCGCTATTTTAAACTTTAATTGACAATCAGGATCAGTAGCGGATTTAGGGGGATCCGCGATAGATATTCCCATAATTTTATCAAAAAAATATATTATTCAGTCGTTGTTTCTCTCAAGATGAAAGGCAATCGACTTAGTATAACGCCTGTTACGGGAAGCGGATTTAGGGGGTCAAAATGGGTCTCATTATGTTCTGGGAGCGCTCGGAAAATCAATTTGGTCGGCCTATAAATTTTCCAGAACATCCGGCCCCTTTGAGAAAATCCTAGATCCGCCTTTGTATAACGCTACAAACGTGGGTGAAGAAATGGAATTTAATCTGAAATACGGAAAAGTTCAGAATAGTTTTTTCCGACACTGAGGCAACTTTTTTTTGAAAAACGAGAGCGGACATTTTTTTAAGAATTTTTTAAAGTTATTTCAAACCATTTTATAGCATGCGACTAAGCTTTAACAAAGAACACGTTTTCTGAAAAATTTTGACTTGCCTGAAAAAAATAGAAATTACTAAGTCAAAAGTTAGTTGATCGTTTAGAGCATACTTTATGTGGAATTCGAAACTGAGAAAAGCAGAACTTTCTTTGGATTCCAAAAGAAAATCTTTTTTATCTGTGATTTGATTTTTTTCTGAAATCCGTTGTGTAGTACCTGAAAAAATGACAGAACTGGCGAGAATTTTGCAAATCCAATTTTTGCTATTTTATGTGGCATGTAGAAAAAAACATGGAAGAAACACCAACTTCTATAAAAAATGGTTCTTTTTGTTTCTTGTTTTGCACTGATAAATATTATTGGATCATTCTGTGCTACTTGAATAGTTACAGACTTTTGTTGCTCCGACGGGTAAGAATTTTGTGTTTGGGTGTATTTTAGTTTTTTCAATTTTTTTCCCACGCAGGTACAACAAATAATCATCGAAATGGGTCGAGTGAGTCATCATAAAAAAGCCCTTTGACCGTGGTTCAAACTATTCTGAACAATTTTTAATAGTTTTCTCAGTGTCGAGAAAAATGAATTGAAATTTTTAATTTCTAGTGTAACTTCGAGCGAATAAACCGAACAAGCAGGCTTATAATAGGGCGATAAGCTTTCATATAGTCCGTGAAAACTGAGTTATTTTCTGCTAAAAATGTTTTTTGAAGTTTCTTTCAGCGTGTTCTTGGGAACAAAACATTTTTAAAATATTCAATTAAACAATATTCGAAAAATGTTGTGACAAATAATTTGTTTTTTTTTGGATTTTTTTGAGGAAATCTGTTTTCAAATATACCTAATATAAAACAAGACTGCTCGTATCAGGAAGAAGCCCTGAATGTTCCGACTGCCTTTTAAGGTTTATGGAGCAGTAATAACATAAAAAATTCAATGAAATAAAACAAAAGAAATTTTTTTTTCTAAAATATGAAATTTTTAAATGAAAGTCATCCCCCCACACGCCATATAAAGTACAAAAGGATAGATTTCGCTCCTTGTAAAAAACCAATTATGGCAAATAAGCTTCTTTTAACCAATTTGGAACGATTTCTAAGACGGATTAACACTCCGCTTACGCGTTAATAGCGCGAATTATATCGCGAGTTAATTGTCCCAAATTGGCCAAAATGGCAATCTTCAAACCCCCGTAACCTTACAAAAAATGATCACTGGTGAAATATCATATCAAATTTGAGCTCAGGACAACAATACTTTTCGAATGATATTTAAAAAATTCCGTCAAAAATGGCTAGTTAAAAAGTCGAAATATGTCTGAAGAAAAAAAAACCCATCCCGAGCACAAATATTCCGTTATTTTCGTATCGAAAGGCGGAACAATAAGTGTTAAATATCATCAAGTTATAGGCTGTTTGGCTGTTTGTTCAGAAAGATTCATCACACCACGAACAAAAAACACAATTTGAAAAAAAAGAAATTGTGATTGTGATTTTTTTTTAATAAATACGGTCAGAACTTTCTGTGATACGTGCACAGCAATCGCCTACCCTTACCTTATTAAGGACTTTGGCTATAACCTCCTTCTTTTATACAGCACGAGAAGTTATCGGTTGAAAGTAGAATCGCACTTGGTTGACTGACTTTTTTTTATCTCTAGATCTGCGAAAGGAGAGTCAAATTCCTTCTTCCTTACAGTCAGAAATCCCTTGAACCTAACTCTGTAGTGGGATGTTATTCGTACAACTTACAGCCTCATTTCTTTACCCTTGGACTCAACCCGTCTTCATCGTCATCATCATCTTTATCTTCGACTCAATCGCCGTTCGCCTTGCTGAACAGTAGTGATCCTCTTGTCTCGGCTTTAAGTATGTTCTGTCCAGTTGACCCAAAAGTGGCCGGTTTGACCTTCGCTGCTCCTCGAGGACCAAAAGCACTTAATCCGAACTCCTATTTTTTTGCACAAGGTAAGATAAACTAAAAATGTTTCAAATGAAGATTCAAAGTGATCAAAGAATTCAATCCAGTTTCAAAATACAAAAAATTACTCAACTATTTTGTTTCAATGATGTTTGTAAATAAAGCAGCAGGTAGTCATTTTGATTTCAGATTTGCTGCTGGCTCTTAAACATATTCTTCAAAGCTTTATGTGTTTTTTTGTAGAATCTTAGACCTCTCTCGCTCTTGTTTTTGTTGCTCGTGTTTGTGAAATGCAGTGCTGCATTAATGGCTGATCTGTACTTGTAACCAAGTACTAGATTTTTTCCGTAAAGAACTTTTCTTAAAAACCTATGAGAATTTGAGTTTGTTTGACTATGAAACCCCAGTAACATCTGCGTCCTTTACCACTTGGTGTAGTGATATAAAACTCACTTTGAAATCATTGAGTTCCAGTCCTGGTCAGATTTTTCTTATCAGATTTTTCTTTCAAATTATTCTTCTGAGATTTTTGTACATTATTTTAGATAGAAAAATTTATGTTTGCGATAGTATAATAAGGCTGTTATTTCTGTACTCTCTCTAAGCAGGAAGCTGAAGTTCGTCTTTGCTTGACATATCTAACTATTGGTTTGCCGTCAAATTTAAGCCCCATAAAGCCTAAATTTAAGCTCTATCCAAAAAAATTCTAGGAAAGCAACGGGTTGGGAGTTCACACAATCCAATCAAAAGTACGTAAAACTAAATGTAGTGCTAGGTATCCCCGACACAGTGCCAGTAATCCACAATATTCAGCTTGCTTGCTGAGGTGAAGATTTTAGTGTCCGGGATTCCTCGCGAAAATTAAGTACTGCCTTTTTCAACCATGTAGGCATACGAACGTGGAGTCCTAGGTTTTTAAAAATCAGGAACCCCGAACACCATGTTTTAGCACTTTGTTATAGGAATGCTATGGCTTGAACCCGGGTTTAAACCAGGTTCAAAAACACCATAGAGTGGCGTCGTAATGATAAGTTTTTTCTTTATCGCCTAAATGATTTCGGCTCATGTTATATCATACTTTGGTCCCATTTTGTACCCTCTACCGTACAATGCTATTTTTTGTGTTGTACTGCAAGTTTGCAAAGCTCCAATTTTCATCTGTGTAATTAATGGTTCTCTAGGTACGACAAGAAAGGGATTTGAGTTGATGAGGAAAGATCTTCTGCCTCCCTCAGAGCTAAATGTGGCTTTAACTGGGCCAGAAAATGCCAAAGCTGATCTAACTGGAAGCCGTGAACCGGTAGTGCGACACATTACTACTCAAAACGATGCCGACAACTCGAGAGGAGTAGGGAAAGCGTATCCTGTATCGCATTTTCACTGGAATGGGATGACATTTGTGACATTCCGCGAACCGGCAGTCGAGTTAAGTGAAATCGAAGAGTTTAAGGACACTTTGTTTAGTCGTGTGGCTAAAGTTTGCGATGCAGATAAAGGGAGAGGGGTGCGATATTTTTCACATCGTTATTGGACTAGTTACGCTAAAGCAAGACTCATTTGTTCATCACAACCTCAAGGATCAGGCAACAGTCCAGGAACTGCAGGGACAGCTCCTGAGTTCCTCTTTAACGAGATTCAGGGCACTCATGTTTTCCAAATGTCTGGCAATGAATCTTCAGAAGACTGGCGAGGGGAGGGGCTCATGGTTGGGATATTTGACACACCCTACACCGAAATGAGAACATCTGCAATATGCATTTACGATTTTGGAAGTGAGTGTACTTTCTGCAGTATCAGATTGCTAACTTAGTTGAAAGATCAGACTACTAGCTTCATAGAAATTTTATGATATTTTTATTAAATTTTTTTAAATGAACAAAAATTGATACAAAAAATGCCAACGCTGTTAAATTGTCTATTTTTTCTTCGAATATTTAATTTAAGACAAGGGACGAAGTTTCAAAACTCAAACTGAACTTTTGAAAACTACGTCAAACTGAAGTTTTTTTCTTATTGAAGTTACTCAATAAATGATTCGGATAAAATTTTATCAATATATTACAGGCATCATGTCCGCTTTCGGCGGAGAGCAATATGGCGTCCAGGAACCCTACAGTGCGCCAAGCCAACGCAATTCTGACGTCATCAAAGACTACTCTCTGGACAGATGCACGAACAGAAGTGAAGACATAGATGGGGGACTGGTGGCATTCTTGCAACAACATCCCCTCATGCAATCTCCGGTGAGAGTCTGTGTGTATGTGAAATGCTATGACATCTGACGTAAATGATCTCAGATCTTTTTTAACTTAACGGGGATCGCTAGTTGCTGTGCAAATAGCACATATTAATCTGGTCACGTCGCAGTTTTCTAACTAAAGAAGTTAAAGAAAGAAAGTACAAAAACATGGAAAAAATTTAATTTTTTTTTGAAATTTCATTTTGTTGACTTTTTAGTTAGTGGGAAAGTGTTTGAATCGGTATTTAGGTGCAAAAGTATAGTAATATTGATTGCAGTATATATTAAAAAAGTTACAGTTTATGATGTACTTTGAGGACAACTCATATTTTGTTTTATCGCTTTTAAGATTATATGACAATTTTGATTCAATCGCTGCAATAGAAATTAATGTTATCTACTTTTAGGTGCGGCCTCTGACGCCCCAGCCTCTGTTCAGAACTCACCCACCCCATCGACTCACCAGTATTACTGGAGAACAGGTGCAGATATCATCACAAACTGGACCTAATCAAAAGTCGACCGGGAAAGAAGAAACTAACGACAAAAGAAGGATCCGTAGAGAAAGCGGAACTGAAGGGCAAAAGGATTCGGCAAAGTCTAAACACTTTTTGATATATGCAGGTAAATCTTTTTAAATAGAAACATCAGAGATTGAAAATCTGTAAAAAACACAATTGAAAAGCTTTGTTTGCTTTAAAAAGTAGCTTTTTTGTAGCACTCTTTGGGTGGTTTTTAATGTTTAATTTTTTAATTTTAAATATTTGACTCCTTTTTAATGTTTTTCAATAAATGTTTTAATGTTTTTCAATAAACATTGCGCTATGCAGGGGCAGATCTAGGATTTTTCTGTGGGATTTTCCACACAAAAATCGAAATCTCAGATGATGTCCGTACCTGTTCAACCTTTTTTTTAGGTCGGTCACACTTTTTTGAGCTCTCCAGGAACAGTAGAGAGACACAGTTTTGTAAAGATGTTCTGCGACGGAAGAATTTGAATAAGTGCAAAAAATAATTTTTTATGGATTTTGTAAGATTTTGAGCAAAAATAGTGTTTTCAGCTCGCCATCCCACGTATTGACGTCAAAAACGCTTTCAGAAAAATTGTTGAGCTCAACCAAAAATTGATACAGTAAAGTAATTCGACCCTCTTGCCAACCAAAAGGTCCTCCCTTTAATTTTAAATTATGACATCCCTTTTAGGCCGACCGACACAAAAAATTTTCTAAATGCGCCTTTGGCGCCAATATATACTAATATAACGCAATTTTTTGGTCAAAATTTTCCAAAAGTGCTTAAAAACGTTTTTTTGCCTGTTTTTTTTTCAAAAATTTGCGCAAAATTGTGGTCAAAATGGGGTCTTTATAGTGCTCTGGGAGTGCTCGGAAAATAAATTTGGTAAACCTAAACAAAAAGGTATACAAAACGTTCCATTTTTTTTCGAAAATCCGCCCCCTCTCGAGAAAATCCTAAGTCCGCCCCTGGCTGACCTACTACTATTTTCTACTAAATCAAAATGTTTAATCGTTAATTTTTATGCTTACATTAATTTAATTGCGTTTGACAGGTACGAGTGACGGACGTGTGATCAAATTAGCCCTTAACGTCACTCAAAGTTCAGAAGAAAGTCAAAAAAGAGTTGAACGAGTTTGGGTTGGGGAGTGGCAGGTTTTTGCCCAGTCCAACCCCGTGAGCCAGGTGAGTCGGGCCTTATTTTTAAGCATCGGTGTTGACATGTATATTTAAATTTTCTCCTTACATTAAAACATATTAGTCTGTTCCAAGGATTGTTATTTGTGTAGATCTTGATTTATTTTTATACAGGCTCCTATCCGACCTCATATGTGGCAATTAAGTACTTCTACACAATTATTGCGACCGTATCCATGAAATATTTTAATTAATTAATTGATTATTTATTTAATTAATTAAATCCTATGCGGTTCCAATTCTCCTTATACTCGCCATTCATTGAGCCATGTCATCTTGGATAAAGATAACTACCTCTTTTTAGGTAAAATTGGACCCCTCTTCTGGTCAGTTACTAGTGACGTCATCCTCCCAAGCTCTACTGATGCCGAAGAGCACTTGTTTGACGGAACAGCTGCCAATAGGACTACCAACGTGCAGGTATGATATCAAATCAGTACAATGAAATCGTGCTTTTCCATGTTTCTTGCAAGGTTGATCCGTTGAAATTTTGCGACTATTACTTAATTTTCATGACTCATTATGGGCCATGCTTACCACTCATTCAGTTTTCTAGGTTACTCACATTCAACTTCGAGTGATTTTAAAGCCATTTCGATAATAAATTTTGGTTTTAATCACCGAATTTTCAGTTTCCAGTTGGTTATCATTGTGCAAATTTTAGAAATCAGTCTAAAATAACTTCAATCTGGGTCTTTTACCCCAATTTATAAGATAGAATTACTTTAATTTTGGGCTTGTCATTTTTTATTTCAGTTAGCTTCAAGAATTCTTTCAAGATCCCATTTCAACAAGATTTATAGGTCGACGAAGACTGTCACAAATTTCTAAATTTTCAGTTACATAAAATAGCATGTGATAAAACCGCATATTTTGCATTTAAGAAAGCAATTCGTGTTTCGGATGATATTTCGCGCAGTCTGAATTGTCTTATATCTTTATTTTAAAAATTTTTTCCATTTCAGGGCTTGTCTAATGACGAGGGACCCTCATTGCTTCTGGAATGTCAAATCAGCTTCATGTATCTACCAACCACTCCCAAAGTAAGAGCATGCAATTATCAAGATTACATTTTCGTTTTTGTTGTCATACGGCTCAGAAGATAAATGCACAAAGACAGCTTCGCCTAGGAACAAAGTTCCGTGGGGAAAGCTTTGGTTGTTTATGTTCAGCTTTTCAGTGTTATGCTTTGTTAGTTTTTAAAGCGCAACTATTTTCCGAGATAAAGTCTAATTTTCTGCTTCATTAGTTGGAGGTGATTTACCTTCCTGTTTTGAAGTAAGACTAACTAACGAGAGGGGATCTCAATTTTTCTTCTTTTTTTTTCACTCTCTTTTCCACACTGCTCGCACTCATTAACTTCCCTTGTCTGATGTAAAAACTGGGGGAACTCAGTCATTAGCTGATCATTTTCTGTCGAAAATGGCATCTTATGTCATCCTATTTGCCATTAGTAGTTGATGGCCTCAATGTTGCGCGTTCATTTATATCCATTTTTATAGATTAAATATAGAAAATAAGGGCAGTTTTTAGTTCCAATAAAATGTCAAAATATGGGATGTGACGATAAGAGGAATAATGACGGATAATTTACCGTGATGAAGCGTGAAACTGTTATGCAACAGGATGAAGTGATTATGTAACTTATGATGTGAACGAATGAAAGGTCAACTTCCTTTCCTGTTTGTTATGTCCGTATCTGATAATGAAAGTATAAGGTGTATCAATTCTGATTTGATGTTTGTTTACTTGATTGGTAATATGTGAAGCAGACTCTCGATTGGTCACTATACATTTTCTAGCGCAGACCAATTTTTGATTTTACGAAAAACTACAACTCTACAACCCCAAAACTACTTACAAATGCTTATAACCCCCAGGCTCCAATATAACAAAATTATTTAGTTGCCGTACAAGTAGCATCAAACTACAGACAAATGATTATAGTTTCAACCTCTGTGATTTCTAAAAAAAGCTATTTTTTTAATTTTTAATTTTGCTACTACGCTGGATCGCCTTGGAGCCTGTTCTAAAAAAAGACTTCCAAATCCAGAAAGTATTTCCCACTTCCATCTAGAATAGGCGGACCCGTATCAAAATTGCGCGCCCACAAAACATCTTTTCAACTGCTCATTGGAGTTTTATCTCCATTTTAGTTTCCGCTAACTATTATTCGCTCACTGTACTATTTCCCACATCGCGACATCAAACAGTCAAAAAAATACAGACCGAAAAAAATAGCATAAAACTTTAAAAAATAGCTGTGAAATAAACTGTTTTGATGAATGCTTGAAACTGTTTTTGTAATACTTCATGTCAGCTGTTGCTTGTTTGGAGAGTCCGCACGCCAAATGACGCCAAAACAAAACACCATAAGATTACAAGATGACACTTTTTGTTTGATTTTTTCTAATGTAATTTTACTTTTATATTACGTTATTACGTATGCCAATGCATGAATGCATGTGATCTCTAGCAAAAATCAAAGGTTTCCCCATTGAAATTAAATGCCTACACAACGCAAATCAGTTCTTGGGCGATTTTTTAAAAACCTTTTTTTGCTTTAAACTAAGAGCTGTCTATAGTAAACAAAAATCTTTTCTTATACCATTATCATATAACGAGCTTTGACTCGAATGTCTGGTTTTCTTAAGTGATATAAAATTTAGTTTTCAACTAGTTGAGCCGCTTAAAATTAGGGGAAAGGCAGCGGTTCTCAGCGAAGAGCTGAACTGCTTGTATGTTAGTATTTTTCCTCGTGAATAAATTGTCTTAACTCAATCATGTATTTCAGTCGCTTCTCGAACGACTCCAATGCAATCAATGCCTACTTGTTCTTCCCTCAAGTGGACAGACTGTGTGCTGTGCTGGACCTGAAAGTAACAGTGGATGAGCCTACTGCTGGGGAGGAACAAGAGAAGCCGGAAGAAGTTGCGGTTGTCCCTGGAATCCCTTCTGAGGGTACTGGAGCAGAGAGTGGAAAAGGTCAGCCAGCTAATGGTAAACATCAATTTATTGTTCCGACTCGAATAAAGTGAGGAATAGAAAGAGATATGCTTGGGGTTTTTCCTATTCAGAGTAATTTTACAAAACTTGACTTCTTTTGGGTATCGATCCGGTAATCTTCGCGTATACTTGTCACTAGCATAAATGCTCTTGTAAGTTCTCGATTAATACAGTGCTGATTTAACAAAGCGTTAACCGATAAAATGAACATAACTTGAAAATTAAAACGCATTTTTTTTTTCAAAATGGGTTGATTTAAGGCAAAAATGAGGGTGACAAAGGTTGGATAGAGCTTTAAGAAAAATAATGGGGTGCAATTTATTATGCAAAATTTGGGCCCAAGTTTTTACCCCAAAATCGACTATTTTCGGCCTTTTTTAGTCAATCAAAAATTATGCTAAAGCTATCGGTTCAACTGCTGACAAAATTTTATCAAAGTGAGACTGGGTATCGGAGGGAGGACGGGTGGTTGTTTATGTGCACAAGATGTTGCTTTATTTTTCTACTCATAAGAGTTTCAGAACAAATAACTTGCAAGATAAACAGCTTTGAGTCCTGTTCGTAAATGACCGGTCTCCGGTTTGATCCCCATAGATAAAAATGATTTTAGAAACTTTCAATTTACACACCCGTATTTTCTAGGCACAATCATGTATTGTGGGTCCCGATAATTAAGTACCTGAGAGTAGCCAAAAATGACGAGGAAGCAAAAATTAAAGTTGCATCACTAAAATTCAATTATTATGCCGTGTTTACTTATAGGGTTTTTTTTCAGTTATATACCCCTAAATGATGAAATACGAAACTGGAAATTTTTGTAAAAGAAAAATGAATCGATATTACTAGGAAAGGAAAAAAACTGGTTCTTTTCTCTCTTTGGCCGTTTTCTCATCGTTAATTTTATAAATAAATTTTGGACCAATGCATTTTTTGTTTTAATTGAATTTAATTCGCGTTTCACTTATTTAATTCATTAATTTAAGTTGTTTCAATATTGATTCAATGTTCGAGTATCAGTCTTGCATTTTAAAGCAAAATCGATAAAAACTTACATTTTCTCATTTTAGCTCATTTAGGGGCGTATAACCGGAAAGACCCCCCTTATGTTGTGGATGAGATTGCAATCGATTTCTAAGTGCCAATTTTTCTGCAATTTTCAATATTTTGCTATTCAAATTATTGAAGAAAATTCAGTTTATTTCATTTTTGCGTATTTGAGGGGTCTTAAAGCTTAAAATTTCAGAAACTTTATAGATTTTGAAAACTGTGCTTTTTGTTGGCAATTTTCAATATTGGAAATGATTTTGATTAGCTGTAAAAATTTTTGCTAGATTGCGAACGGTTTGTTCCATGTCAGCTAGTTATACAGTTCTGATTTAAGTTATCCTGACAAAGCAAACAAAATTTGAAATTTCAAACGCAAGTTTTTCTCAAATTGGGTTAGAATAAATCAAAAATTGAACAGAACAAAAGTTATTAGAATTTCAACAGAAATAAAATGGTTCAATTTTTTCCCCAAAATTCTTAACCAAGTTTTTACCCCAAAAATGGGTCATTTAAGCTTTTTAAATTAATCAAGAATTACGCTGAAGCTACCAAGTTTATTGATGAGAAATATTTAAAAAGAAGCCTCTTTCACGGCACAACAAAGTCCTAGAAAGATAATTTTCCCAGAAATCTGTATTTTTTTGCCTAACAACAAATTTCAAGTATTTCACGCAAATTTTTCTCTAGAAGTTTTTGGGCTGTGTAAAAAGCTTCTTTTGACATAGCTTTCTCATCAATTAACTGGGCAGTTTCACGGAAATAAGTGTTTTGAGTGTTTTTGGAAAAAAAATATTCAGCGAAAACAAAATCTTTTGTGTACCCAGAACTACATTATGCACACAAAAAGTTAAATTTTGCATGCAAAATTTTTTTTGGAAAATGCTTGTTTGCTTATAAAATTCGTTTTGCGGTTTTAAAAACACAATTTTGGTGCAACTTTGAAAGGACTGGTATAAAATTTTGTTGTCGCCATCAAACAACTGTTTGTCATACAATATCCATATATGTAGTTTGTATGATTAGCATTTTTTTGACAATTTTTTTTAATTTATGCCGATACACCGAATTTTATGCTAAAATAAGAAAAAAATTCTTTGTAAATTTGATGACACCATTTTAGCAAAATATATGAAACTGCTATGAGTAGTATTTTTTCATAGACTTAGTTTATGGAATTGTATGATTAACATTTTTGGTCTATAGAGGTCAACCCGGGAGCACGCGCATTTTAGAAACTGCCGGAATTAGTTCAAACTTCTCGCTCATAAAATCGGAAACTACCCGAAAGATATATCTAATGACAAAATTCGGTAGACGCGAATAAGCAGCACAGACAATAACAACTACATGCATCAGGAAACATTGACAAATGATTTATTACCTCAAATGAAGTTTTAATTGAACAAAATCTTGCCGCACTGTCCTGAGCTCACTGTTCTTTTGTTTTTTTTGGATAATAGCCGAGTCGTAAAAAGATTTAAAAAAGATTTTAGCGTTATAGCATTTTGTACCTTTTTTTCAAATTTCTCGACTGTAATTGCCAACCGGACGGCTTCTTTCTCCCCTCCCCTCGCCTCCCCTCCCCCTGCCCATCTCCTTCCTCTTTGAAAACATAAACTGTTTGTACTTACTGCCACTCTCTTCAATTTCCCCTCTTCTGCTTCGTATGTGCAGACAATCAATAAAATAGAATTGGAAATAAACAAACACAGATGTGTTTTTACCATTTATGACCATTTCCCAATTTCCCACTTCCTTTTTACCCCCGATTCAAACAACGTCCTGCGCCACTTTTCTGTGGTAAGCGGACAAAATGGGAAGCTAGTACCAATTTGGTCAAAATTGCCTAAAAAATTAAAATATACGGAGGTGAAAATCAATTTATGACGCCAATTATCTCCAAGGAAACGAAAACAAAAGACAAAAAATGACACTAACAACCATCATAACGACAAAATTCAAGCTAATTTCAATCAGCAAAATAAAATTGCCCATATTGATGAGCGACAGTTTCGCATTTTAATTTTTTTGTCTTTAATTTGGATGAATGTAAATGATATTAAATTTTTTCTGACGCAGTTTTGTTGGACCCCACACCTAGGTGGATTAGATAAAGTCGTCAATTTCTGTTTCATTACATCAATGTGCAATTATGTAGCTATTTTCAATTTTTTTTTGACAATTTCAGTCAATTTGACTGATCGTTTTTAAAGCTTAGTAGTCGTTTTCTCGCTACGTGCAGAGAAAGTTCGCTGAAAACTTCAAATGAAAACAAATATGTATATAATTTAATGAAAGAATTTTTTTGCAATGCTGAATGTAGTCTCGTCCGAGCATTTTTGTTTCTACGCTCACATCTAGTTATCCATTGTTGTTTTTTGCTTTAGGCGAGTCTGACTTGGTAAATGTTGACAATGGAAAAGAGAGGACCGATAAAGACAACAACCAGAAAGAGTCACTAAACACAGGTACAAAGTACAAACTGTATTGTGGAACTAACTCATGTGCACTAACCGAAAAGTTCTGGTATTTTTCAGCTCAATGAAACGCTCAAATTGCATGTAAACTTTTTTTAGAGTGCTGCTTCAAATTATCCGGAAAAAACGTAAAACTTGAAAAATGAAACGCGTTTTCTGCTGATAAAACTATATCAAATTTGACTTCTTATGTATCCCAACAAAGTTCAAAAATTTGAGGAGAATATTATCTTTTCAGTTTTTTTATAAATAAACTTTTTTTCATTTGATAGCCAAAAAATGTCAATTCTTTTCTCTTTTCTGACTTCGCTGAAAGTCCGGAATATTTATGCTTGTGGTGGTTGTTTCTACTCAGTCAATTTTCGAATTCTTAATTAACCGTTTTTGACTTAATTTTTTTTGTACGATCTGAGAAAAAAAGTTGTCCCCTGCTTAAGTGTAAAACAAAACTGCTCGCATCGACTGGCCTTAACGCCTTTCGATATCAATTTTGAAATCATCAATTTGAGTTTTTTCGGGTTTTTTTGAAAACTTCTCCTTACACTCTATGTCAAGTATAAAGTGATGTTCTTAGCATCTAGTTACATATTAATAAAATCGAATATCTTGCCTCAATTCAATTTGGAACAATTGATAAGCGGATTCATTCGCCACTTTTGCGTCATTGGCAAGAATTTTATCGCTTGTTAATTGTGTCAAATTGGTTTTTTAAGCCCCATAGTTTAACTGAAAAAGTGAAATATCTGTTTAAATTTGAACTTACGAACTCAATACCCTCAGATAGCTTAGAAAACTTCAGCCAAAAATCTTCAGTCAAAAAGTCGAAATTGGTCTTGAGAAAAAACTACCCCGAGCACATATATTCCGTAACTCTCTTCACAAGTCAGAACAAAAAAAATCCACCAATTGTGTCAAGTTGGTTTTTTAAGCCCCATAGTTTAACTGAAAAAGTGAAATATCTTTTTAAATTTGAACTTACGAACTCAATACCCTCAGATAGCTTAGAAAACTTCAGCCAAAAATCTTCAGTGAAAAAGTCGAAATTGGCCTTGAGAAAAAACTACCCCGAGCACATATATTCCGTAATTCTCTTCACAAGTCAAAACAAAAAAAATCCACCTGTTTTCATTTCTCGCAAAGTTATAGGGGTTTGAAAGTTGCGGATTTGAGCTAACTAACGCGCATTATCTTGCGTTCTTATAAAATGAATGAGCGGCGGATTAAGTTGTTCAAAACTGCATTGAGGCCAATCATTAGGTCTTATAATTACAATTTGAACCGCTTAAAACATCCCTTCGTATTTTGCGGCGGAGACAAAAGACATTGTTCTGTGGATAAAATGAAAAAATATATAAAAAAAATACTTTTTCATCTTTTTTTTTTCGTTTTATCAATCCAATTAATCAGTATTTTATCAAAAAGAAAAAAGTTTAGTTTCCACTAACGTGAAGTCCATAATTTTTGGGCTTTGCCTTGTTATACTAGTCTTCTTGTTACCAGATAAAAAAATGATTGAAAAAAAAATGTTTCGCGCCAATTTTTGGCGATCATATTCTTGTTAAACTTTGTCGCGCCACGCAAGAGGCTCACTTTGATTTAGTTGTGTAATTCAACCAATAGTTTTGGCACAACTTTTGATTGATTAAAAAACTAAAAGTGATCGTTATGGGGGAAAAGTTTTGTGGTGAATTGTGTGAAATAAATTGCACCATGTTAATTTTGTTAAAACTCTAAACATTTTTTTTCTTTTTTTTCCGTCTAAAACCAACCTAATTTAATTTTCAAGTTTTTATTATTTTTGTTCTGTCAGCACTGTAGTTAATGCCAAATTTCTGGCAACGTTCTTTTCGGTCAACAAATCTGAACAAATTAAATTAACCTAAAACTGCTTATTGACGTTTGAAATCAATTTTTCGCTCATTTGAGCACGTAAAAACCTTTTCAAAAAAATTAATTATCCTGAAAGCTTTCGTGTTTGGACCGATTATGTTGCTGAAGGTCATCGATTTTGCCAACCGTCTTGCAATAATTGTATATCAGCAATTTTAATAATGCTGTGAACGCTGTGTAGCTCTGTGGGTTCTCGACTTATGGGGAAATTTTATCTCTCTCACTCTCTCCTCCCTTAGATGTACTCGCAGTGAGGTTCGTTGGCCGCACGTGTCTGATACTTTCATAGGTTACCTTGTTTAAAATGCTTGAAAAAGTTGAAAACAGTGGTAAAGTTTATAAAGGCAAAACTATTGCATGACTTAATCCCAAACCCCAAACTATGTTCTTTCTTAAGAGTTCGAAAAACAAACCAAGCGTTAGTACTTTTTTCCAAGAGTACTTTTCGTCATCACCAACTAGATAACAGAAAACACATTCAATTCCCACAGAGCTCAAACGACGATTAAAAAACATCAAACCTGTCAGTTAACGATTACAGAAAAGGCAATAAGTTGCTAAAAATTGTTAATTTCATTTGAAAAATTGATTGACGTTACAAAGCAACCTTTATTTAGCTAATCTGATTCTAACCAACAACAACAAGCTTTGATAACGCATATGTAGTCAACTGACCAGGCTCTGGTGGCCTTCAACCCTGTTCTTCATGTAAGTTCAGCCTAATAATGCATAACGCAGAGTCAGAGAATCGAACCTATGATCTACTGACTTTAAACTTCTGAGTCGTTTTATTTATTACGAGCAAATCGAAGAAGGTACCATTCCTGCTCCTAAAGTGATCATTTGAATCTATAGTGTTTAAAATGTTTAAGTATCTGAGTGCAGCGATCTGCAAAAAGGTATGTTTGAAAATAATTTTACTTCAGGTCCTTCTGGTTTGGTTATAACACCTGCAAACAAAGATGGCAGTAGCAGCGAGAAAGTAGTCGCAGCCGCGGTCGAAGTTCTAGACGGCGAAGCTTCCCGAGGAGCGAAGGACAAGCGGCTTCTCACCATCGCAATTCTAACCGCCATACCATGTGTAGTGGTAGGCGTTATGGCGGGCATGGGTCTCCTCTACTGTTTTGCATTCTACAAGGCCAACAAACACTCAAGGGTCGCTAAATCGTCTCCGAATGAGTTAATTTATGCACCGGTGCCGGTGACACTACAGGGCCGAGGAGTAGGAAAATCTCCATCGGGCAACTCACAGGACCAGTGTCACAAAGCACTGGAAAATAGCTACATGTACCAGCAGGTAGAAAGATTCGCCAATTACCTTTCATGATTTTAAGACTCAAAATTGTTTTTTTTTTCTTAATTTTAAATGTGCTATGTTTTTTAATCTAGCGTTTACCGAGCATAAAATAGCCGCAGATAAGTTACAAGCAACAAAGTAAACACATGTAAGGTTGACCTTTTAAAAAAAAAGATGAAATTTTGTCGACCTTTTTTGAGGTCGACCAATTGGATTTTTCGCGCTTCACTAAATTTTTATAATGAACCAATTAAGCCAAAAATTTCTGGCCGCAGACAGTTTTTGAAAAAAAAACTGGCTAAAATGGCTTTTTTGACCACACAATCGCGTTTTTTCCTTGCACGCTCCTGCATACGAGCTCCAAATTAAATTTGATCTCATAAATCCTTTTAATTTTAACAAAAAAAAATATTTTCAGGACATGTTTGTGTTTAGGTATATGCGCAATACCTTCAAATAGACCCCCAAGCTCAGCAGCAGTCAGAAGAGAAGCACTACTCCACAATCAGCTCCACCCACCCCCTCTCCCACCCGTCTATCTCAAATGAACCACACTACACCTCGAATCATAACCCCTACTCAGTTGACCCTGAAGGAATGCAGGTCAGTGATCATACTGCCAATTCGAAAAAACTTAAATTTTTTGAACTATTTCTTTGGCGAAGTCCAAGTCTTACAGAAGTTACGAAGATTGCAACAAAAACTAACCGGAGAAATTATTCGATTAGAAAACATGATTTCTTTCCGTGTAACCTTCTTTTTTTGATTTTTTGTGTAATTGGTTGCAATAAACAGCAAAAGTTTATCGCTGCTTAATTTATGAGCAAATACACAGTTTTATGGCTTCTACAGAATTTTCAAAGTAGGTTTTTGTGAAATATTCGTCTGATTTCAGCTCAGCGTGGCCTATCCATATCTATGTAAATCGAAATTTTAGTCACTTTAACTATCCATTTTTATATTCCGCTCAATAATTTACAGGCACATATGATACAGACGCAGGTGCAGAATCAAGGCCATTCATCATCATCTCCATCGGCGGCAGCAGCGACCACCCACTCAGCCTCATTCAGTAACCTCCTCTTACCCAGTCAGTTCGGAGTGCACCCGAACCCACTCGCCCCGCCATTGCCCCCACATCACAGCCTGCGCAAGAACCCAGGTAGAACTATTGTATTTCGATAAATTGATATCTATGTTGTTATAAAAGTTAATAGTGGAATTATTTAATCCTACTACTTGCCCTGTCCTGTGGTTGGTACAGTTCTCAACTGTTGAAAATTTTATCCTGGAAAATAGAAAATATTCGGCTTTATTTCTTGCCGAATTACGCAATGATTTTGCTCTCCATTGCAAAAACAGTGCAATTTTTTTGAAAAATTGCCGGATGAATTAGTTCTACAATTCTACGGTGTTATAATAATAGTAATCTAATAGTATTAAATCAGAAGTGCCTTTCACCTTATATTGCAATATTGTTTTAGCAGGCAATTCATCGGCCCATGGAGACAGCATCCTGAGTACATCAGCTATGAATGGTACTCCCTACAGATCCATCTCACCCAGACAAGATACCAACTTAGCCCGGCCACATCCTCCAAATAGACTGGACTTACACCCAGCAGAACAAGGATTGGCTGGAAGCATGTCCAGATTACAGATGAATCGGGGCCATAGCATGTCCAGTCATGGCCATCGACAAGAGGACCATACACGGTTTCCACAGCATCACACAGTGGCACCCAATGGTAACCATGGGAGCCACGGAAACCAACATAATCACCACACACCGCATTCGCAATCGTTTAATCAGATGCAAAACAGGGCGTTGCCGAGACAACCTACGCAGTCTAGTAGCAGTCAGTTGATGGGGCAGAGGGGGGACCAAAGAAGTCCGATTGGGGAGGGGAGATTAGTTGGGGGATTGGGAGGGGCAACTGGGTTGCCTCAGAGTCACAGCATGCTGAACTATTCCCATACACAGCTGTGAGTGTTGAAAAGTTAGAAAAAATAAAGATTTCGAAAATATTTTTGAAGTGAATATATGAATTTAAGCGAAAAAATTCAAAATCACCGCAACAACGCCATCAAGGCTATTATATTGCTTTACTAGAAAACTGAGACAATTATCTTTTTGTTTAAATAAAAAATTGAATGTTCAATAAAAGTTAGTCACATTTGAAAAATTTTAAAAACGACTTAAAATTGTCTTTACAGATGAATCGGGATTTGAGAAGGAAAGAAACAACCTGACTGAAAAAACTTTCGGGTCACGTTTATTAATTGTTGTAATAAAATTTCTGTCTGTAAATGCAATAATTGTAAAAATGATTGACATTGATTTTGGTTATACTTTCATTTTGGTTATTGATCACATGCTTCAATATGGGCATGTTTCTCCTGTTCTGTTTTCTAGAATTGGGTTTTTCAGTGTATTTTTCTTTCAATTTTATTGCGGGTTACTTTGGTGCTGTACAGATACAACCCTGGGCATCTATTGAGAGACAGCAGCCAGCTGCAGCTAAACAGCAGAACTGGCGACAGAAATAATGGGGGTGCAAATAACCCAGTGCAGTACAGATCAGATACCAGACTTTTCACACCCTCTCAATCCAATCACCCCCGCCATGGTCAACACCCAACTGCTGAAGGGGGAGATAGCGGGAACAATAACACGTACGGTCAGGACCCACTGAGTTCCAGGGTACTACTCTTTGCGACAGCCAATCAAAATCACTCTGGAAGGGGCGGGGCTCAAGTCAGTAACAAAGTTATCAACAACATCCCTTTGATAAGAAAACCGACAGCTGTTAAGTACAATCACAGCAACAGTGACGAAGCGGCGGGACATTATGGTTCCCAAGGACCATACGGCTCCCAATCTTCGGCAGCACCTTCCCCAAATCCACAGCCGACTAGGCAAAATGTGGGTGGGAAAGAGCAAAATTCTGTTTATAGGTCAGATTATGAGCCCAGAGAACTTGAGGGGGAGAGACTTAACGGACGTGTGGGTGGGATGAGGACTAGCGAGAACCCTCTTTACGGGACTACCAATCAGATTCATCAGTCCCAGGTAAGAAAAAGCAAGAATTCTATTCATGGTAGCACGAAACACTTCAAAGAGTAGAATGTAGATTATAAGTGAGTAGCCTTAACCTAATGGTGTTGGTTAATTTAGTTTTGACTGTTTTTCGATTGAAATGATAGTACTTGATTGAAATCAGCATGATCCTTCAACTAATTTGTGTCATTGAAGTGCATGAACTTTGGTTTTTATTTTGAGACTTAAAAAATAATCGAGTCTTTCAAGATCATGCTAATAGTAGATTTATGAAATCAATTGCTCCCTTTTTGCAGCTAGTTTTTTGTTTATATATATCAATTTTTTTAAGTTGCACTTTCTGTTTTGCTCCTTTGCATGTCAATGGCTATTTTACCATGCCCCCTTTGCATGTTGTTTGTGTATGATAATGTTTTAGCACTCTATGTTAGAGTATGATTCCAGAAATATCCCCAGTGAAGCCTACCCTTTAAACCCGCGTTTCCGACAAGGATCGGACATATATGCAACCAAAGAGACTAATGCTAGTCCTTTTGTATCAGACCAATCACAATCGCCGCACGCTTTTAAATCAGCGAATCCGGTTGGTCAACACAATAGACAGATTTACAATTCAGCCAATCAACTGTTCTCTCATGGTCATCGCAAAAGAGCTTCGACAGAAAGTCAATCTGTTTATAACAGACCGCGTGATACAGATTTTAATCACGCACAAAACCAACAGCAAGGTTACTTGATACCAGCTCTGGGACTACAAACTGAGGCCATCTACCGCCAAAAAAGAATTCCAATGGTGGGAAGATACCGAAATAGTGAAGAGAACGGAAATCAACCTAGACGCGAAGTCGAACCTACGTCCTCGCCACCTTTGCTTCTTACTCGCCAAGATAAACGTCGGATCGCTCATCGTCACACTGTGTTTTGGGAAGGGCTGGGATGGCATGCGCTTTGAAGTTCCTTTTGCGGATTAGTAGCAAGGCCAGTGATAACCTATGATTTTAAAATTAATAAGTGTTAAGGCTACATATAATGATGCATGGTTCATGTTGTGTCTGTTACTCGATTAATTTTTTTTTCGTATTATTAGTTTAGAACTTGGTTTTAGTTTATCAACTTAGTTTTAGTTTGATCAGATTTTCTTGATGTTTTCCTTTCATGATCAATTCGCCTCATATTAATTTAAATGTTTTGATTGATAAATAACTCTGCAATGCATTGAAAAATTGATTTTATTCATAATTTAACTGGTCATAAAATACCTATGATTTAGCAAAAAAATGTAATTACTGCAAATCCTGATGTTTCAGTACAATTTTCAGCCGACTGTTTTTGTTCCGACTATTGTATTTGGGTGTGTTTTAGTTTTTTCCACGCTAAATCAGGTACCACAAATAATCATGGAGTGTGTCGATTGATATATCAAACTAAAATTCTTTCAGTCTTAATTTGAAAAACATTTTAAAATTTCAAAAAAAAATTCCCAGTGTCGAGAAAATTCAATTTGAAAATTTAGATTTTTGTTCTCATTTGGAGAGAATGAGCGAGCAGGCTTTTTTTATTTTTCAGCGAAAAGTATTTACCGCAAATAATCATCGTAATGGGTGGAGTCAGGGGCGGATCTAGGATTTTCTCGAGGAGGGCGACGGATTTTTATTCATTTTTTTGACAATTCTGTCGCCCTTTTTTTTAGGTCGTCAAATTGAGTTTCCGATCTGAGCGCTCCCAGAACAATATAAAAACCCATTTTGGAACGCCGCTTTTGGGCACTTTTTGGAAAATGTTGGCCAAAAAATTGCTTTGTTTTGGCGCGCACTCCCCCTCGAAATTAGTTTATGATGGCTTTGGAAAAACTTTAGGGTCGGTCGGCAGAAAATGGATTTTTTAAAAAGTACTTAAGGGGCGGATCCTTTGGGTCGGCAGTGGGTAGAATCCCTGAAGGGGGGGGGCGTCTGCCCCTCTTAACCTGCCCCTGGGTGGAGTGATATATCATATTAAAGCACTTTCAACCCTGATTCGTACGACATTCAAAAAATTTCAAAATGACCCAATGACGAGAAAAACCGGTTTGAAATTTTTGAGTTTTAGTCGAATTTCGATCGAGTAAAGCTAGCGAGCAGGTTTGTTTTAGAAAAAAAAGCGATGAAACTTCAATTGAACTCCAGTTAAATTATTTTTCAAAGTTCGTTTAACGTCTTCTTTGGAATAAAAGGTTTCAAAATTTCAAAAAAATGTCTGCAAAAAAAAGAAAAAAAAACTTATTTTTTTGTCTTTTTTCGACTAAAACTGTTGCCCTCTCGGTTTTCTTCAGATCCGTTTATCACACGACTCATAAAAAAACAATAATTAAAAAAAATGTATTTTTTAAGATTATGGTAGGAACATTCATTTTGTACTACTTGCACAGCCACCGTCTATCCTTGTTGCTTTATATCAAGAGCTCGATTTAAGACTGCATAATTTTAATAAATTATGAAATTTTGTTATGTGATGATATTAATTATTAATTCAGGTTGCTCAACGGCTGGCTCGCATCGCAAACCCACCATCACCCAACTTGCAAAACAATCATTCAAATCAAAGAGTGGACTGCAATCATCGGCAAAGACAACGACAGATGTTACCGCCTATGGATGCTGCAGAGACTCCCAAAAGCAGTCATAGAGTTCGGCCCAAGGGGGGAACTTTCGGGGTAACATCACCAGGAACTGCAACATCTTTAGGTGGAGCAAGGGGAGACCGGACGTGCAATGGGAGTAGCGAGTGGGGCAGAGAAGGCAGGAGTCCCAATCTATCAAACTCCCCCTCCCCCTTAGACGATACGAGATCCAACGGGACCCCCACTCCTTGTATGGAAAAAGGGGATGCGACAGACCAATTAGCCATCAATATATGATTCAATTATCTATTCGCACAACTTTATTGAAAAAAAAACATAAAAATGTCTTCAATTCAGAGGAATTTCCGTTTTGGATGCTATTTTCACACTTTTATCAGCGGAAGTTGTCGAGCGCTTGGATAGTTTAACACGGCCAAATCTTCGAAATTCCGCCTGCTAGTTCAGTGAGGTTATACGACCATGATAGAAACTAAAATGAAAAATTGAACCGATGATGATTTAACCAGAATCCAAACTTTTGTTACAGCGTCCTGCAGCTTTATATAAAATCTATCTCTTATTCTAACTATTGATTCCAATCAGTGTTATATCAAAAAGAAAAATTGTTTAAGATTTCTGCCCCTTTATTCTATCAATGTTTCTCATTTATCTATACGTCGATGTTATTATAGAGTTTAGTTTTGTGTTTTTAATTTGCTCCGCGTTTATACAATTGAACGATTACCATGTTAGCTTTTTTAATCAAACGTTTGTTGAATTGAAATAGTTTTTTTTTTCGATAATTTCAGGATGCTTTCATTGTTTTGGGATTTTACAATACTTTATTTCTACAGTCAAAATAGGAATACTGTTCAAAAACGGTTAAATCTTGAAAGTTTGATTCGCTTTGCTGAAACAAACGCTATTCAAAAAAAGCAAATGATCTGCGACCCTAGGATTTTTTGCGGGCATTTGCAAATTTATCGAATCGAAAGAGTCAACAAAAAAAGACAAAAAGGTGCCCCCGAAAAGTTTTGGCAAAATAAGAGATTATAATCGATTATAATTGATTTACAGAGTTTTTTGTCTGAACGATTGGAAAATTATAATCGATTATAAATCGTTTAAACACCTAATTTTGGTAATTATAATTTTCAATTAATAAATTGAATAAAATTTTCAAAAAGTTAACAGAATAATCCGTTATAATCGATTACTTACGCCTAAACTTGGATTCGAGTAGTTTTTCCTGATTTAAATCGATCTTTCTTGAAAATTTTGCATCGATTTAATGTCTTTAAAAGTAAAAAATCATTGTAAATCAGATTATGGGCAAAATCTCATGTAACAAACTAGAAAGAATCAGAATAAATTAAACTTTAATCTCAATAAAATGCAATTAAATCATAGAAAATCGTGAATTTGAACCAGATTTTGAGCAAAAACATATGAAACGAATCAAAAAAGTGTCAATATAGATCAATTTTTGAACTCAAAATGAACAAGGAAGTCATAGAGTTTTATCGATATTTTGGTCTTTTTTTTGGTCTTTCTTATGATAGGCAATGAATAAATGAAGTTAAAAATTGAAACTGATGAAACTCGAATGAAAAAAATCGATTGAATTCATTTTAAATCCGTTTTAATCACCTTAAAAACAACAAAAAGAGTGGAAAAAAATGATTTCAATTGATTTATAATCGATTTGGATCAAATATTGTAGCTTGCATTTACGATCAATTTTAAATCGATCTAAATCAATCTTTATCTTTTTTATTTAATCTGTACTTTTTTCATACCAAAACCGATCTTTTTCAACATACTTTTTTCAACATACTTATTCATACTAAAATTGATCCTTGTCCATTTTTGTCAGTGCGGGTCAGTACTGTCTCAGCTTTTTTTGAAATTTTTTATTCTGGTCATAGCCAAATGAGTGAAAATAAAGAGTTGGTATTTGTTAATAAATTGCAAAAAGCAGCCCTTGCCCAGATTCGGAACCTCTACATAACGCGTTTAAGTCAACCTTCTTACCTTTAGACGATCTACACTTGCAAATTATCCAAATGTGTTGAAATTATCTCAGCGATTTCAAAAAGTTTCAACTATATCACAGGGTATTATAAGAAAAACGCAACTTCTAATGCATTTTTTTTTCTTTCGCTGAAACATTGGTGATGAACTAGTACTGTAAACCTAAGTGTTCTGTTGCATCAGAGAATAGTGTAAAATAGGAGTGCGGCCAAAAAGGAAACAACTTTTACTTCATACCGGTCAAAAATCAGACAATTACTATATTAACCAATCAAATTGGAGAACAGAAAGCAAACGTAGGAAATAAATAATTAAGAGTCATTTATTTCCAAAATCTGCTTAATTTTTTCAGTTTTGATTGAATCATATAATAGTTGTCTACTTTATGACGTGTCTTCTTCATGACTAGTCTACTTTTTGCTAAGTAGCCTATAAAATAACGGTTTATAATCAAACTATGATGCTTACCTGCATTTTTGAACATTGCTGCGAAAAAGCAGCGGCAGTACCGATTTGCTCTGCGGCGTCAAATCAGATTGTTTTTGTTAGGGAAGTTGGCAAACCAGTGAGCCTGTTTTCGAATCAGCTTTTTTTTGGTCACAGTCTTTGTTTTGCGGCTTTTGGCTCTATTTTTGCAACTTTCTGACCTTCTATAACTGTTTTTTGTTTCAACAGTATGCGTGTTGCAATACAATTGCCCCAATTTTTTGTGAAAGGGAAAATTTGAAACCGAGAGGATGATGTGTTACTTTTAATTTTTTTTGTAGTTCAATTCCTATTACGACTTTTGTACTGAATTATTTCCTTCTGTTTGCGAATTTCTTATCAATTCAGTGCCAACATGGGCAAAAATTGTTTGTGCGAGTTAATTACCTTACGTTTTTCCTGATTAAAGTCTAACCAGCTCGAGAACTTTCTTTGATCGTTTCGATTAGCTTAATTGCTCTCGGCACATCTTGCATTAGCTTTACTTGCCTCTTTTTTGCTGTTTCTGGCTGCTTTGTGTCTGAGCATTTTGAGATAGTAACAAATTCAACAAGAATGCGTATTATAAGCTTCCTGACAATGGAATTTTTCTCTAACTTGTTCTCTGGAAAACCTCAATTCCTCTTTCAATTCTCTTGTTAGCTCACTGCTATTTGGAAGTGTTTCCGGGTATTGATATTATAAGCTTAAATCAAATTTAATCGTTTTCTCCGCAAAAATTTCTATTTTTATGTTCTTCTATAGACTCTATTGCGTGTAATGGCACACAATCATTGCTGACTATATGGGGGTGTTTGACGTTAAGTATTTGCTGTATGATTTTTAATCTGAAGTGAAAATTTTGAGTGCTTCTAAGGTGTTTTCAATGGTGTGCGTTTTTCAGGCGGAGAATAAATAATGCTGTTAGTTTTTTTTTACTCTGCCAAAATGTGTTCAAAAATTTTGATCTGTTTTCAACAAAAAATGCGGATCTGATGGATGCGGACGATGGCTTCTGCAATATGTAGTTTTTGGCGCAGTTGCAAAAATTTTGAAAATAAAGTTCCACAAAACATGAAATCCTGAGCAAATAAAGATTATTTCAATGGCAAACGAAACTGATGTCAAAAAACCAATTATTGAAAATCCCCCCCGCTCACAAGCATTATCAAGTTTTAGTTGATGCAATTTGCTGTTATTTTTGCTATAGTTGACAAATACTTTGAAATTTAGGGTTATTATTTATTCAAGTTGCAATGCAATCAACTGGTTTGTTTCAAAATTATTATGAAAATGAAATATGCATCTTTATTACTTTTGAATAAAAAGTCTTTGATTTTTAAGTTACATGATAAAAGATCCCTTACCTTAAGATCCCAAACGAGAAGATACCAGTCAATAAGATACCATTCCAAAAAATACCTCGTTCTAAAATCACCCACTACATAAGATACCATAATAAAATAACAAAGAATAAAAAGAATACTTTTGAATAAAAAGTCTTTGATTTTTAAGTTACATGATAAAAGATCCCTTACCTTAAGATCCCAAACGAGAAGATCCCAGTCAATAAGATACCATTCCAAAAAATACCTCGTTCTAAAATCGCCCACTACATAAGATACCATAATAAAATAACAAAGAACCTGAGAACTGAAAATAAAGCGGTTAATCGATCAAAGCAAAAACAAAGCGTCGGTTAAAATCAAAGAAACGGCAAAACTTTTGCTGCACAAATTTCGAACATAAGTGACCTGGCTAATCACTTGGCTTTTAAAATGAAACTCAAACTTCAAAACAGCTTGACGAGGACTTCAATTGAACTTGACTAGGATTTCAAATTAATCAAAACCAACTTTGCCACAATTGGCCTGATTTTCCAGATAACTCAAGTCGGTACAAAATTGAAACTGAGTTATTGCAAAATTCTAAAGCTTTGAAATCATTTTCATTACGAATCACTTGTCACTCTATTTGATAAAAAATATCAATTCTCAATTTTGATCAACTTTTTTTTGCTAAGCGCAATACTCAAAGGGCCGTCAGGCCCCTACCCCCAACCTAGCGTCCAGTAAATAAGAGCAATTGCTCTGGGATCAAAATGCTAGATACAGCATTTTCGAATGCGAGTCGTAGTATTGCGTTTCGGCGTTCTTAGGGAGCGTGTAAGGAGACGTCTATAAAAAAGTTGATCAAACAATTTTAAATTTAGGAAAAATTAAGCAAAAACTAAAACAAATACAATAGGTTAAATGGGCAAGTGAACGGATACAAGACAATAAGTCTGTGTATAAACTTGATATCTGTTGAACTTTTTCATTCAGATCACGGTACTTCTTCCGAGATAAGTTGATAGTGCCTCTGGATGCCTTCAAAATGTTGAACTTTTGATTGTAAGAATCCAGTTGAATTTTTTTCGAGAAACGAATATATTGAAGGATGGCTGCCTTGAAACAAAGCGGTGACACCTAGATGCCACCCTTCAACTGCACTTGTGGTGCGGGCTAGACCACACACAGCATTTTGATAATGGTTCCATAGAGAAATAGGAAAAAATGTTTTTCGGCCAATCAAATCCCCTCTAAAGTAGGTTTTGCGGAAATGAGCAGTGAGTTCGTCTATTTTTTTGAGATCATTTTGTGAAATATCCAGTTTGGTTGGCACACTGCTTATTTCCTCAATGACTAGGTCGAACCCGATTTCCACTTTTGACTCCGGTACAAAACTAAGCGCAGGAATCATATTCAGCGCTAAGGCTAGCTCGCTGTTTGATTCGGATTCGTAAGTCTTTTTAAGGCCCAATTCGGATTTTTTTCGCATAAAGCTCTGGCAGAGGTGAAAAAAGCATCTCTTAATGTCAGTTTCGTAATGAGAAGTAAAACCACTCAGAGTCGCAATTTCAAAGTCGATCAAAATTCTTTCCGGGGTTATGTCACCGATAAGCGATTTAAGTGCGGTTAGGAATTTGTAATAGGTTGATAAGCGCTCATTGCTGAGCAGAGAGTAGACACAAGGTGGATAAAACCCGCCAATCTGGATGTGTACAGTGTACAGCTGGTAAAACTCACTAGGGCAAATTGTGAAAGTACCGTCTACAAGCCAGGTTTTGTTGTACAATTTAAGCGCATTGAGGTTCTCAATGTCACTAAAAATCAATATGCGTTCCGTATCTTGTTTTCCGCTATCAAAAAGGCAAAATTGCTTAAAACGATCGGGTA